TTTTTTTTTTTTTCATTTTTACTCTCTGCAAACTTTCAATTATCATGGAGGTGCAAGGAGAGAATCCTCTCCTTCATTACCTTAACGCATCTAAATAGATATTGGTCGAAGAACGTTGTTGACGATTAAATTCAGATAGGTATATGTTAATATTCATTGATCATGCGAAGGTTTTAAGATTCTGTCAAAGAATATTTGCCAGGGAATGAAATCACGTATCTATCGGAATGCCTATTATACTTCGATGCGTGCAAAAATCATTCTAATTGTAGGATCTTTTCGAAAGAGTAGTTGCACGTATCTGCGATCCAAAGTTAAATGTTCAACAATATTCTTTGTTTCATCCTACGTCCCTTGCTTCGAGACCGGACCAAGAATCGAAATCTATATGCGATCGTTCTTCGAACCAAGCAAAATCTCTCAAGCTCCAATTGTCCGATCATTTAATTACTGATAAGATGTAGCACACTTCTTATTGCTAATCTTCGGCTGAGTTTGTCCTTTTCTGTCAACGTTGAACGCATTATCCTCGACAACGTCCTCGGTATCGTCGACGATTCGCTGCCACGGCGTAGGATTTATGTACGCTGGTTTCACTTTCTGATGAGCTGATAGCGGATGAAAATCTCGATGAATTTATGTTATTCATTCGAACAGATTTTCTTCAGAAGAAGAAGAAAATAAAGGAGAACTAACGTAGAAGTCCTTGGGTGGCAGGCCTCGGTTTGTTCTTCGCCATCTTTCGCCAATTCTCGTAGGCTCTCGTGCTCTCCTCCAACCTTTTCTTCCTTTCCTCTTCCTCCTGTTCTCGTTTCATTTCCTCTTTCTTCCGGCGTGCTACACCAACAACCGTAAGTAAACACCAAATTGTCGATGAAACGAAGTAAAATCGATGCATTCATTACCTTTCTCTTCTTCCTTCTTTTTACGAGCCCACTGACGAAGATACAAAGTCTTCACTACAGCCGTTTTATCCTCCACCTCTTTCAGTTGCTTCTGCAATTCCAGTTCTTTCTCCGTCGCATCTTTCTTCTTCTTCTCTTCCTTCTTCTTCCTCTCGGACCATTTTAAGAAATTCTCCCTTTCCCGACATTCTCTCTCTTGTTTCTCGCGAGCCAGTCTTTCCTCTTCCGTTTGCCTCTGCCTCTCGGCCAGATCTTCTTCCTCCTTTCTTCGTCGCGCCATTTCTTGCTTCCTTCGCATCCACTCGCTGTAAGTGATCTTCTTCACAGCAGCCGACTCGTTCGGCCTGTTCCCCGATATTCTGATACTAGATACCGACGAGGAAACTTGTACGATTCGGTGTCCATTAAACGTGTACCTATACTCGACGAGGAACGACATTTCGATTTTCTTTCATTTGGTCTTGAATTTAATATCCATATTTTTCTTCTACGATGTTAAATATATACGGGTATACACGAACGAATTAAAAATATGTAATAAAAAAAAAAATCCCGTAAAGGATAACTAGGAAAAATAACGAATAGAGGTGGGGATAGCTCAATTGATAGAGCATCAGACTCTCAATCTGAGACATTGTCCTTTAGGAGAGCTTTGTGTGTATAAAAAGGTCCCAGAGCTCTCCCAACGTGCGGAGGACGGCCATCGTGGAGGTTTTAGTCGGTAAAAATCCGACACTACCTGGGGTCTTCCCTTAACACGTTCCGTGCCAAGCGATTTTTGCCTTTTGTTGTCGTTCAGGCC